AAATTTTAAAAAAAAAAAAAAAAAAGAACAATAATCCGTTATGCATTTTATAAGACAATTTGTAACACAATAAATCTCACGAAATTTTAATTCATCCTAATAATTGATGAAAATATTCAAACGATACAATGTAACGCAAATCGTCGTCATCATCATCATCATCATCATCATTTTTCTTTTCCTTACCTTGCCAATTTAATTTCGGTTAAAGAAATTATTATTCTTTTCTCTGTTGTTGTTGTTGTTCTTCCTTGGTATTTGTATCTTCTTTATTTTCCTTATTTCTATTCGTCATCTTGATGCATATACTCATTTTATTAATAACAATTAAAATAAACACGATCGTTATCAATTCCATGGAACAAATCTGCTGTTTTGATTCTTTTTTTTCTCTCTCTAACACACACACACACACACACTCTCACTCACTCTCATTTTTTTAATCGAAATACTAACAAAACAATATCTCATTTCATCTGTTAAATATTTTCAAATTTCTTTTATTTTGTCCTATTAACATCTACAATCTGAACACAACCGATGATCACAATTGTTATAAAAAAAAAAAAAAAAAAAAAACCACCATCAATTTCCTTCCACGATTTATTTCTATTATTATTTCCTATTACTATCACTATTATTATTATTATTATTATTCGCGTTTGGATCTGAAATAATTTCTCTTTTTTCTTTTGATTAAATAAAAACCACCACCAACACGGGATGAGACCACAATTATTTGATAAACACCATCAATTTCTTCCACGATTTATTTCTATCATTTCATTTATCTCTCTCTCTCTCTCTCTCTATTACTAACACTATTATTATTATTATTATTATTATTATTCGTTTGGATCTGGAATGATTTCCTCCGTTTTCTTTTGGTTAAATAAAAATTTAATGATTTCCCATTATCCTCTCTTAAACTTAATCGTCGTCGTCCATCATTGGTTAATATAATTATTCTATTTCTATATATTTCCTCGTCACATATCTTTAATCTTCTAATAATTATTTTCTTCCTCATCGACGATATAAAATCAATTAATTAATATTAATATTTAAATATAACAATAACGAGATGACAATAACGATGATAATAATAAATCCTTTTTATTCGATTGTATTTATCAGGATATCGAATAATTAGATTAATAAATCTAACCCCTAATGTTTTGTTATATACGATCGTGGTTATTCGTTTTGATGGTGATAATAATAGTGGTGGTGGTTTATATTATGGTGGTCCTGAATGCAGAACCAACCAACAGACGCGACACGATGCACCCGACTTCTTCTTCTCTATCCGCATCTCGAGCTGTGCGGTCGAAATGGTTTTTACTATGCGCATGCGCATTACCTTTTATACTTCGACAATACTCGTACCGGGTTGGTTCACTCACTTCGGTGGTCTCTCTCACTCTCTCTCTTTCTCTCTTTCTCTCTCACTCTGTCTGTCTCACTCACTCATACACTCGTTTTGTTTCTGTCTCTGTCTCTTTCTATTTCTCTTTGTTATATAGTTAAAAAGAGACAGATATAGGTAATAAACAAGGAAGGGAAGAATAAATAAGGACAGAGAGATAGAAAGAGAGGGGGTGAGAAAGAGAGAGAGAGAGAGAGAGAGAGAGGGAGAGAAAAGAAAAGGGAAGGGAGGATTAGCCAATAGATGTTTTTTATTTATGCATGGGAAGTTCTAATTCGAAGAACATGCAAAGAACTTTAAACGAATGTTGGAAACGTTTTAATAATTAATATTCCGTGTGTTTCTTCTCTTATTCTTATTCTTTATACACTCTTTTTTGTAGTTATCTTTTTTCTATATATTTTCATTTTCTTTTTCTAGAAAATTATATTGAATATTTTTTGTTTTCGTAAATTTGCAATATATTCTCTTACGTATCTCATCGAAATTGTTTTTTTTTTGTTATTTCATAGAAGTGTTATGAACTTTCGATTTTATTAGAAAAATAGATTTTGTTGAAGTTAATTTTTTTTTTTTTTCGATAATAATATAACATAATTTATATTTTTATATGATATATACGTATATTGTAAGACCTTTCTCACGGGCACGGTTAAGTGTAAGGATAGTAATTTTATTTAGACTAAGTACAACCTGTCTGTAGGAATTACTACCCCATAGCTTCACCCCGTAAATAACCCCGTGTCGCTTGGTAACGGGGATTCTTGCCTTTCTTCCCAGGGCTACCCAGGTCGGCTCGTAATAATATATTATATTTATATGTTTTATTTTATTAATTTATGTGATTTATATGTCGTTTGTTAAATTAGATTTTGTTGAAGTTTATTTTTTTTTTTAATAATATAACATAATTTATATTTTTTATTATATAATAAAAATATTATATTATTATTTATTTATTATATATTTAATTATATATATAAATATAAGAATAAACATGTAATAATATTATTTGCGAAATTATTTTTTATATTACATTTTGTTGTGAGAGGGGAATAAAACTTTTTCTTTAGAAATTATAATATCTTATCTTGTATTGTAAATGTATGTAATTTTCCCTGCTTGTAACACAGGTAAAAATAAAAAAAAAAAAACTAACAGAAATTTCTTTTGAAACGTATACTTAACAACGATAACGATTCTAATCTAAAAACATATTTAATTAAACGACAATAAATTATGTATTCCGTAACCATAAGTGTTTAACAAACAAACAAAATAGAAGAAAAAAACAAAGAAAACGATCAATCAAGTCATAAAATATATGCGTATCGATTTGTGTTTATTAAATTAACTCGATTAAAATTTTCTAACAACGGCAAATAATTCGTTAAATCAAAGATTACAATCAACTCTTATAATGATTCGAAAAAAAAAAGAGAGAAAAAAGTAAAGAAACAAAATTCAATCGACGTTTATTCGTTTTCTATCGAAATTCGTAATGTTTTGCGAAAAGAAATTAAAAAAAAAAAAAAAAACGAAAAAAAAATCTATTTTTATTATAACCAAATTTTTAATTTGAAATAATCTAACGCATCGAAACTTTTACGAGCGAGATACAGGTGTACGATAAAAAAAAAAAACAAAATAAATAATAAATTTCATAGTACACACACTCTAGGGGGTTGTGAGGGGGGATCAGGCATAGCATACTATTTTTGGACGATCGAAAAGTTCTTTAAATTTCGATCAATAAATGTGGATTACGTAAGTAGAGAAACAACCCTCTTTTTGTAAGTAGATCCTAGATGAAAAAAGAAAGCATGGTGTATGGGTATTATATTGTTCGAGTTTTGGGGAATGGGAGAAGGATTCAAATATGAGACCCCTCTTACCTGAACTGGATTTTCTTCTGGTTCCCCAACGAATTAAAATTCGAATGAGAGGGATCTTACTCTACCATTCAACAGAACATTTATTCAAAGCAATAATAGGTTTTGCTTTTAATGTTCTATTCGTGAAAAAAAGTTTAGAATATATATATATATACGATTTTTCTGTTATTATCGAAAATATTCTCGATATTAATTTTATAAAATAAAAATAACATATATACACAAAAATATTTATAAATATTATATAATATTTAATTTAATTATCAATATTCTTGTCCAGAAATAAATATTATTTTATTTTGAGACTTATATTAATAATAATATTTAACGTTTTTATAATATGAGAAAGAAAAAAAATACTAATAAAAAAATATTTTCTTTACTCTTTAGGATAATTATTTTTATTAGAGAATTCAATCATTTTTTTCTTCTTGTTTGTTTTTTTTTCTTTTTTTTTTTTACATGATATAATATTATCATGACGTAAAGAAAAATTTTTTAAACGATATTTCAAATAATATTTTTGAAAACTTTTATTTATATAAGACGCGTATAAAATAAATATTTTTTTTTTTGTTTATATAATACAATTGAAATAAAAAGTACATTATTATTATGACGTAAAGAAAAATTTTATATAAACGATATTTCAAATAAAATTCTTCTCTATATAAAACGCGTATATGTATGTGTATATTATTACGACGTTGATTGTAGAAGCTAAAATAACACACATAAAGTATTTCAATCTCTCACAATGAATGCAGTTTAGTTTTATCAAGTGCAATTAAATATCTCACTCTGTTGCTGTAGTTAAATCATCAGCTATCGTGTTTATCGTGATTAGAATTTTGAAGTAAAATCGCAACGTTGGAATTTATATCTTATCATGCTTAACGTGTATGCAAATTGTTTATATATATATATATATATATATAT